AACACTATCAATCAACTGGCTATAACTGACAGCTATAGACTACTTCATTTAAAACAGCAAAATACACATTCTTCTCAAGCTCACACGGAACATTCACCAAGACAGACCACATTCGGGACCATAAAACACACCTTAACAAATTTAAAGAATAGAAATCATACAATGTCTTCCCTGAGACCACAATGGAATTAAACTAGAAATCAATAACAGAAAGATAACTGGAAAATCCCCAAATATGTAAACAATACATTTCTATTTAACACATGGAGTCAAAGAAGAAATTTCATAAAAAATTTAAAAATATTTTGAACTAAATAAAAATGGAAACACAACTTATCAAAATCTGTGGGATACAGCAAAAGCAATGGTTAGAGGGAAATTTATAGCACTGAATGCATGTATAAGAAAAAAAGAAAGATGAAAAATCAATAATCTAAGTTTCCACCATAGGAAACCAGAAAAAGAACAAATTAAATACAAAGTTAGGAGAAGAAAATAAATAATAAGAATTAGAGCAGAAATCAATGAAATTGAAAACAAATTCAATAGAGAAAAAAATCAATGAAACTAAAAGCTTGTTTTTTAAAAAAGATCAATAAAATCGATAAGCCTCTAGCCAAACTAACCAAGAAAAACAAGAGAGAAGACACGCATTAGTAATACCAGAAATGAAAGAGGGGATATCACTACAGATCCCACGAACATTAAAAGGATAATAAAAATACTATGAACAACTGTACACCCACAAATTTGATAACCTAGATGAAATGGACCAATTCTTTGAAAGCCACAATTTGAAGAAATAGACAATGTGAATGGGCTTATATCTATTAAAGAAATCGAATCAATAATAACTTTCCAAAACAGAAACCATCAGGCTCAGATGAGTTCAATGGTGAATTCTACCAAACATATAAGGAAGAAATTATACCAATCTCTACAATCTCCTTTAGAGGATAAAGCAGAGGGAATATTTCCAACTCAATCTATGAGGCCAGCATTACCCTAATACCAAAACCAGACAAAGACACTAAAGAAAACTACAGACCAATATCTCTCATGAACATAGATGCAAGAATCCTAAACAAAATATTAGCAAATCAAATAACAACATATAAAAAGAATTATACATCACAACCAAGTAGGATTTATCCCAAGTATACAAGGCTGGTTCAGCATTCAAAAATCAATTAATATTATCTGTCACATCAATAGGCTAAAAAAAAATCACGTGATCATATCAATACATGCAGGAAAAGCATTTGACAAAATCCAAACCTATTCATGATAAAAAACTCTCAGTAAACTAGGAGTAGAGGGGAACTTCCTCAACTTGATAAAGAATATCTACAAAATTCCTACAGCTAACATCATACTTGATGATGAGAAACTCAAAGGTTTCCCACTAAGATCAGGTACAATGATGTCCCCTCTCACTACTCCTTTTCAACATCGTACTGGAAGTTCTATTTAACGCAATAAGACAAGATAAGGAAATAAAAGGCATGTAGATTGGCAAGGAAGAAATAAAGCTGTCTTTGTTCACAGATGACATGATCATCTATGTAGATCTGAAAGAATCAACCAAAATAACTCCTGAAACTAATAAGCAACTATTGCAAGGTTGCAGGATACAAGGTTGATACACAAAAGTCAATTACTTTCTTATATACCAGCAATGAACAAGAGAAATTTGAAATTAAAAACACAATATCATTTACATTAGCATTCCCAAAAATGAATGCTTAGATATAAATCTAGCAAAACATGTACAAGATCTATATGTGGAAAACTACAAAAGTCTGATGAAAGAAATCAAAGAACTAAAGAAATGGAGAGATATTCCATGTTCATGAATAAGAAGACTCAATATTGTCAAGATGCCAGTTCTTCCCAACTTCATCTATACATTCAATGCAATCCCACTCAAAATCACAGTAAGTAATTTTGCGGATAGTGACAAACTGATTCTAAAGTTTATATGGAGAGGGGCCGGCCCTGTGACACAGCGGTTAAGTGTGCGTGCTCTGCTGCTGGCGGCCCGGGTTCAGATCCTGGGTGCTCACCAATGCACCACTTGTTGGGCCATGCTGTGGCGGCATCCCACATAAAAAAAAAAAAAAAAAAGTGGAAGATGGGGACAATGTTAGCCCAGGGCCAGTCTTCCTCAGCAAAAGGAGGAAGATCAGCATGGATGTTAGCTCAGAGCTGATCTTCCCCACAAAAAAAAAAATTAATTAATTAAAAAAAAATAAAGTTTATATGGAGAGGCAAAAGTCCCAGAATAGCCAACACAATATTGAAGGAGAAAAAAGTTGGAGGACTGATTCTACCTAACTTCAAGCTACGGTAATCAAGACAGTGTGGTATTGGCAAAAGAATGGACAAATAGATCAATGGAAAGGAATAGAGAGCCCAGAAATAGACCCACATAAATATAGTCAACTGATCTTTGAAAAAAAAGAAAAGGCAATTAAATGGAGAAAGGATAGTTTTTTTCAACAAATGGTGTTAAAACAACTGGACATCCATAAGCAAAAAAACAAAAAAACACCTAATCTATACACAGACCTTACACTTTTCTCAAAAATTAACTCAAAATGGATCACAGACCTAAACGTAAAAGGCAAAAATATAAAACTCCTAGAAGATAATATAGGAGAAAACCTAGAGTACCTTGGGTATAGTGATGACTTTTTAGATAGAACCCCCAAGACACAACCCATGATAGAAATAATTGATAAGATGTACTTAATTAAAAACTTCTGCTCTGTGAAAGACAAAGAGAGTGAGATGACAAGCCACAGAATGGGAGAAAAAATTTGCAAGAGACATATCTGATAAATGACTATTATCTAAAATATACAGAGGGGCTGGCCCAGTGGCACAAGCGGTTAAGTGCGCGCACTCCGCTGTAGCGGCCTGGGGTTCACCGGTTCGGATCCCCGGCGCGCACTGACACACCGCTTGGCAAGCCATGCTGTGGCAGCGTCCCATATAAAGTGGAGGAAGATGGGCATGCATGTTAGCCCAGGGCCAGTCTTCCTCAGCAAAAAAAGAGGAAGATTGGCATGGATGTTAGCACAGGGCTGATCTTCCTCACACACACAAAAAATAATAATAAAATAAAAATAAAAATAATAAAATTAAAATAAATAAATAAATAAAATAAAATATACAAAGAACTCTTAAAACTCAACAATAAGAGAACAACCAACGTGATTAAAAAAGGGGCCCAAGACCCTCACAGTCATCTCACCAAAGAAGATATACAGATGGCAAGTAAGCATTTGAAAAGATGCTCCACATCATATGTCATCAGGGAAATGCAGGTTAAAACAACGAGATACCACTATACACCTATTTCAATGGCCAAAATGCAGAACACTGACACCACCAAATGCTGAGGATGTGGAGCAACGGGAACTCTCATTCATTGCTGTTGGGAATGCAAAATGATACAGCCAATTTGGAAGATAGTTTGCCAGTTTCTTACAAAACTAAACATACTCTTACCATATGATCCAGCAATTGTGCTCCTTGATATTTACTCAAAGGAGCTGAAAACTTAGATCTGCACAAAAACCTGCACACAGATGTTTATAGCAGCTTTACTCATAATTGCCAAAACTTGGAAGCAACCAAGACGTCCTTTAGTGTGTGAATGGATAAACAAACTCTGGTACACCCAGACAATGAAATATTATTCAACACTAAAAAGAAATGAGCTATCAAGCCCTGAAAAGACATGAACTTTAAATGCATATTACTAAGTGAAACAAGTCAATCTGAAAAGTCTACATACTGTATGATTCCAACTATATGCCATTCTGGAAAAGGCAAAACTGGAGACAGTAAAAAGATCAGTGGTTACCAAAGGTTAGAGGGGAGGGATGAAGAGGCAGAGTACAGAGGATTTTCAGGGCAGGGAAAATACTCTTTATGATACCATGTTGATGGATACATGTCATTATACATATGTCCAAACCAGTAGAATGTATACAACCAAGAGTGAACTGTAATGTAAAGTATGGACTTTGGGTAATTATGATGTGTCAAGGTAGGTTCATCAACTGTAACAAATGTACCACTCTGGTTGGGGATGTTGATAATGGGGGAGGTTATCCATGTGTAAGGACAGGGATTATATGGGAAATCTCTTATCTACCCCTCAATTCTGCTGTGAACCTTTAAGCTGCTCTAAAAAAATAGTCTTAATTAAAAAAAAATACAAGTGAGAGAGGTCATAATTGACAGAGCCGGTGGGTATGGGATCCAGGGCACAGGAAAAGGGCTAAGCTTTGAACAAGAAGAAGGAGCTTCTCCAATAAGACAAGAAGCAATGGGGTAAAGACAGGTACCTAGCTAAACTAAGAACTTCAATATTACATAATGGTGGTGGGGCCGGCCCCATGGCGTAGCGGTTAAGTGCACGCGCTCCGCTGCTGGCGGCCCGGATTCGGATCCTGGGCGTGCACCAAGGCACCGCTTGTCAGGCCATGCTGTGGTGGCATCCCACATAAAGTGGAGGAAGATGGGCACGGATGTTAGCTCAGGGCCAGTCTTCCTCAGCAAAAGCAGAGGATTGGCATGGATGTTAGCTCAGGGCTGATCCCCCACACACACACACACACACACACACACACACAAATTACATAATGGTGGCATAATGGCAGGGTTTATGCTGTGATTTAAAAAGTTACTTAATAAACTGTACACTTCAAAATGGCTAAAATGGTATTGTTTTTATTATATATAGTTTACCACAAAAAAAATATATATAAAGTTACTTGATTACTACCCAATTTCCATAATCTAAAAGGTTAGCTTTGACTATTACATTTCATGGTTAGCTCAAGTTTAGTTTTTATTTCACTAACTACTCTAGATTTTACATAAGATAAGTCCTATTTAACTTCTTGTGGCCATCGAAAAAGATTTATTCCACTTTATCCATAGTTTACCTATTCCTACTTAATAGAATAAACCAAAGATCTTACCATCTGAAATACATCAGAGCCTTCATCAAAATCCACCATAGCAAAAAATATCCTGTTGGTAAATGCACTGGAGTATCGCCAGGAATTTGCCAGGATCTGGAATTCTTCATCAGCTTGCCTGGATGCAATCAGATTTGTGAAGATAACATATAAAACATTTTTAAAAGCAATCTAGTTCATCAGCAGTAAAACAGATCCAAAGAAACAAGAGCAGTTTTTCCAATGAGGTAAATATTGAAAAAAAAAAAGACAAGCAAGTCAGGCTCTGCTGACAGGGTTAGGAAAAGCCTTGGAAAACACTGCCATTATTGTGGCACAAGAGAAGCCTTATCCCAAGTGTTGGGGATTTCAACAGAAAGTAGTAATTACCTGACTCCACTTCATACTTGGTGCCTGTTTCTTATCTCAAAGCTCTTTCAGTAGTCACTGGGAAAATCCAGCTAATAGTCTCTACAACAATTTTTAATACCCTAAATTACTTCTAAGAGTTCAAAGACAAGGTTGAAGAGTATTCCCAGAGAAAGCAGATTATAATATTAATCCATTTAAAACATCTAAAGTACAAAATGCTACCTATTAAATAAAAATACGGTCGGATGAATTATTAGGGTAAAAGATAAGAATCTAGGGAATTGAGATTAATTGAAACCTCAAGTCACGTTTCACTTTTCTTTTACTACCCATATGCTTTCAGTTTCCAAGATCTGACAATTCTTCATTTGTGATTATTTTTTAACCCCATCCCTTCCCGTTTATTTTCATTGCTATCATCTAAAGTCAGATCCTTAATATCTGACATTAGAATATTAAAATACTGACTCTGGTTTCTCCTACTCCAATCCTTCTTACACTGCAGTATACATAAATCTTCCTAAATTACTACTTTCTTGAAACTCTTCCTCTTCTCAGAAACCATTGTTGCTTTTCTATTACCTTTGAACAGTCTCTAAGCTCTTTCACTGGTTATTCAAGGTTCTTTATCATCTAGTTCCAAATAATGCATCTAGCTTTTATGTAGCCTTACTTTACTACTAATCAATCTCAAACAGGATGTCTTTTCATCCCTTGCACACATCATTGCTTCTAATCAGAATATCCCACCCCTATCTAAATCTGGTCCATCTGTCTAGCCCTAGTACAAGTCCTATCTTCTCCATTAGGCCAACCCTAACCACTCCTGTTATATGTCCTTCCTGAAATTTTACAATATTTATTATGTACACAATTAATTTGGTACTTAATCATAAATTGTCTTATATTGCCAGCTAAATTTTCATGTGTGGAACTCATTTCCCTAGCCAGATAATAAGGGTAGGGCATCTTTCTTATACTTCTCATTCTGATAGCACCAAATATATAGTATTATACACAATGCTGTTGCTTAATTTTTATTTTTTGAATGAGTTTAGGAAAATGTGAGCTAATTTTAAATTGTTTAAATTCAAATTTAAACTTGTAGAAAGTCAGATGCTAATAAAAACAAGTTAATAAGAATTCCATTAATTTGCATTTAACACAGAATTATGAAGGAGTTTGTGTTTGTTCCCTGACATTTTTGTTACTCTCGATTGTTAGTGAGGGAACTGACTGAATTACGAGTAATTTTAGATTTTAGTTTATTCATAGTTAACACCTACTATTCTTTTTCCTTCTTCTATTCACATTTATATTCAGCATACGCCTCAAAAACTAAGAACTCTGGGACCAAATACTTGACTATCTCCTACCTCTGGGGAGAAAATCCTTTAAGAAAAGTTAGCAAGGCTTAGGGTAGCATAATACACTATTCTAACAGAAGGCTGTCTATTCCTTCACGTGGGCCCTGGCTGTCAGAATGTGGAAAGCCTCCAAGATTTTATTAAATTAGTTCTTCACAGGGTTGCCTTGTCACTTCATTTAAAGTGAATTCCCAGATCACACATACTGATCTAAAAATATAACTAAAAAAAAAAAACAAAAAGCAAAAGTTATTTTATTTTTTAGTATCCACTATTTTCAATTATCTATAGTGCTTTTGTTTCAAGAAATATCAATCTTTATTCTTTGTGTGTGTGTGTGTGTGTGTGTGTGTGTGTGTGTGTGAGGAAGATAACATCCTGAGCTAACATCCATGCCAATCCTCCTCTTTTTGCTGAGGAAGAGTGGCCCTGGGCTAACATCCGTGCCCATCTTCCTCCACTTTATATGGGACGCCGCCACGGCATAGCCTGACAAGTGGTGCATCGGTGCACGCCCGGGATCCGAACCCAGCCACCAGCAGCGGAGCACGTGCACTTAACTGCTACGCCACGGGGCCAGCCCCTCAATCTTTATTCTTAAGATCATTCAGAAACAGTAAAATAAAATCAATAAACCATTGTTTGATGAACGTTTAAGTGAGATTATTCTCCATTTTCAAGGTTTACAATCAGTAAAAAATAATCTAGAAGAAAGAAACATCTCTAAATCATGCATCTTTGTTTTCTAAAAAAGTTCTCTTATAATTCCAAATTTGGATGTAGTCACTATTATTGCATTAATAAATATCTCTAGCTTTGGGTAGACCAGTTAAAATTTTGGAAACTGTTTCTACCAAAAATGAGAGAACATTTACTTTATCTACCGTCTGGGGTTGTTATGATAAAACAAGAGTATGAAGTTGAAAGCACTTGCAAATAATAAAACACTACATCAATGCTATTGGCGTACATTTATATAAGTTGATACCAATTTATAAGATGATTGTTAGATTTTTTAATTATTCCTATGATGGCTTCCACACTACTTTATCCTTGCTCTTTGTTCCTCCCCAACTAATATGGACAACCAAGAAATGACTTTAAAAGAGTAGTAGTAATATGTGTTACTACAGCTATCCTAAGTACGGTATACATACTAATTGTGTATGTAACCACTGAACTAATTTGGTTCTTCTAAGATTGAGAAATGGTTAAAATCTTATAAGTTATTTAATTTTAAAGTGTAGTTGAAAGTTCATACTTGCACACAACACATTGTCTATGAAGCTGGAGAGCAGTGAACATGACAATAACGGAGTAGTTTCTTGGTGGGGCTTTAACAAGGCGACGAAACTTGTCTCCATTCATCCTTATTACAGGTCTTTTATTGGTCCATTCCATCAGTTGACTAACCTTTTCAGATAACACCATCTATAAAAGACAAAGGATGGAACTTGAGGGTATTATGTTAAGCGAAATAAGCCAGACAGAGAAAGACAAACACTGTATCATTTCACTCATATGTGGAAGATAAACTAACACATGGACAAACAGAACAGTTTAGTGGTTACCAGAGGGGAAGGGGGTTGGGGGGTGGGCATAAGGGGTGAAGGGGCACATTTTTATGGTGACTGACAAATAATAATGAACAACTGAAATTTCACAATGTTATAAAGTATTATGACCTCAATAAAATAAAACAAAAATAACTAAGATAAAGGGAGCATGCTGTTAATACTCTCAACTTGGCATTTAAAATTCTTTTTAACTAGGCAACTTACTTAAAACCAAGAATAACAAGTAAAGGTACACAGAAAATGTGAGAGATCTAAAAATAAAATTTGGTAGGTGGGCCTGATGATAATAATTATTCTTAAAATTATATTATTTCATGATGAGATTTAATCAGACACTACATGTTCTATGTGAATTACTTATTATTTACTAGTAGACAAAATAATATAAAATCATAAAACCTTTCATTTCCCAAAGATTCCAAAGAATGTTGAGTTAAACTAACCGGCTAAGTTTATATAAGATTTTCCTTCTCAAAAAAAAAAAAAACCACACCTACATAGAAACTAGAATTGTTAAAACAATTTTCAAAACAAATAAAGTGGAAGGAATCACTCTACCTGATTTTAAGATTTATTATATAGCTACAATAAGCAAGGCAGGGTGGTACTGATAAAGGGATAGACACATAGATCAATGGAACGGAAACAAAAACTCAAGAATAGACCTACACAAGTATAGCCAACTGATTTTTCACAAAGGTGCAAAAGCAACTCTCTAGGAAGGACAGCCTCTTCAACAAATAGTTCTGGAGCAACTAGACATCCATAGCCAAAACTATGAACCTTGAACTTATCTTCACAACTCACATAAAAATTAACTCAAAATGGATCACATACTTAAATGTAAAAAATGAAAACTAAAAATTCTAGGAAAAAATATAGGAGAAAATGTTCAGGATCAAGGGGTAGGCAAAGAGTTCTTAGACCTGACACCAAAAGCACGATTCACAAAAAGAAAAAAATTGATAAACTGGACCTCATCAAAATTAAAAACCTTTGCTCTGTGAAAGACCTTGTTAAAGAGGATGAAAAGACAAAATACAGAGTAGGAGAAAATATTTTCAAACCACATATCTGACAAGATTAGTAGCTAGAATATATTTTTAAAAACTATCAGAACTCAACAGTGAAGAAAACACAATTCAATTAGAAAATGGGCAAAAGACATGAAAAGACTTTTCATCAAAGATGATCTACAAATGGCAAATACATACATGAAAAGATGTTTAACATTATTAGCCATTACGGAAATGCAAATTAAGAGCACAGTGAGAGATCACTACACACCTCTTACTAAAATAAAATACAGTGACAATACCAAATGCTGGCAAGGATGTAGAGAAACTTGATCTCTCATACATTGCTGGTGGGAATGCACTATGGTACAATCACTCTAGAAAACAGCTTGGCAGTTTCTTAAAAATTAAGCAACTGACCATATAGTAACCATACAATCCAGCAATTGCATTCCCAAACATTTATCCCAGAGAAATGAAAATTTACGTCCACACAAAGAAACAGCTACATTTGTTTCTTTGTAATAGTCAGTCATCATGAGGCAATGGAAGAGAAGCAAGGTCAATGAGAATTTCAGTTTGAAATTAAGTGCAATCATATTTATTTATCCTTCCCTTCATCTCCACCCTTATATTCAAACTTTGCAAGACTAGTAGGAAGACAGGAAAGGATAAAAAAGAAGTGTAGAAGACAAGAATCTCAATGCAGAGTTAATGCTAATTTATGGTTTTGTTCTTCTTTACAGAGATATGTTTACAAAGGGCTGGGCAATCATGAAGTGGTTCATTATTCAGAAGCATTTGACCAGTACATTTCCCACTACTTACACTGAAATTTGGCCAGGGCACTGCTGTTCAAACTTTAAAAATAGTTCCCTCTCTTTAAACTCAATCATCAGAGAACAGATGTTAGGATGTGCCTTTTCACTTTGGAAGTGGATCACGAACCTACTAGAAAGACAGCACTCTTTGAAAGATCCGTGTCAGGAATGCAAATGAGTTGCCTCAGATTTAGGCTAAGAAAAATAATCCCCAGAACCATTAAGAAAAGCTTCTGTAGGGGCCGGTCCTGTGGCGGAGCGGTTAAGTGCACGCGCTCCGCTACTGACAGCCGGGTTCGGATCCCGGGCGCGCACCAACGCACTGCTCGTCAGGCCATGCTGTCGCAGCGTCCCACATAAAGTGGAAGAAGGATGGGCACGGATGTTAGTTCAGGGCCAGTCTTCCTCAGCAAAAAGAGGAGGATTGGCATGGATGTTAGCTCAGGGCTGATCTTCCTCACAAAAAAGAAAGAAAGAAAAGCTTCTGTGGCTTTGGTCACCTCAACAAAATTCTCACAGAATGCATATCTAGCAGGTTGTTAACTGAGTGACCCTAAATGGTTTTCCTAAGCAGTCAAGGACCAAGGACACAGCATATTAATCCTCCTCTCCAGATGTTTCATAACACTTTTTACCCGTATTCTAGCACTTATCATTCTAAGATACTTTGACTTCTGTTTCCTTCTCTAGACTATTAGCTACTAGAGAGCAGATACACACAGAACTTTACCATATAGCAGGCACTCAATAAGTGTGTACTGAATTTCTATTTAACGGTTCCCAGCCGGGTATAGACTCACTTGTATACATTAACATATAAGGAAAAAAAGATGATTGCACACATAAACACTTACATAGAAACAGAATTTTTTTTATTTCAGGAAGGGAATAGTAACATGAATTCTAAAAATGCATGATTTACCTTTAAAGCGTGCCTGAATTCAGCCAATACAGAAAATTATTTCCTGAGTATACTTCAATGAACTACAGAGAAAGATGGCATAAAAATTAGTTTTGTAGCAGATACAAAATAATTCCAGTAAGAGCCACAAAGTGAATATGCCACACATGGAAAATTGAATATAGTCTCTAAGCCCATAGAGAAATATATACATTCTCGAAAGACTGGTATAACAAATAATTAACAAGACTTGTGGAACAATGAATGATACTAAGGAAACAGGTCTTTGGTTAGGGCTATGGAAGACAGTGAACTAGAAGGTAGACAGGATAAGGGGCAAGCGATGGAGGCTAGTTCATCTTTAACAGTAGAATTAGTTACCAATAATTGTCAAGAGTAGGGAATATTTGATTTAAATTAAGGATGCATAGATTAAGTTTATTCAGTTTTTCCAACAAAATGAATTCTTATTATTTGATACAGCCTTAATGATCTTCACAGTTCAGAGAACAATATTGGTTCGCAGTTTAAAAATATGTATTCTATATTTTAAAGCAGTCATTAATTTTGTTATATTTTCAAATTAAATTTGACATCAGCAAATTCAAACATGATTTGGCTATTTTATTCACCATGGCTACAGATTCTATTTGGGGCTATTTTAGAAAAAAAAGTGGAGGAGGGCCGGCTCCGTGGCTTAGCGGTTAAGTGCGCGCGCTCTGATGCTGGCGGCCCGGGTTCGGATCCCGGGCGCACCCCGAGGCACCACTTCTCGGTCCAACGCGAGGCCGAGTCCCACGTACAGCAACTAGAAGGATGTGAACCTATGACATGCAACTATCTACTGGGGCTTTGGGG